CAATGGATCAGAATCTAAACCACGAATCATCATTTTCAAATCTGTGCAAAAAAAAAAATATAAAATGTATAAACAAAAAAACAAACATCAGATTGGACACCTACGATGACGGAGATAGAAACACAGGAGAACGATCGCTATAGGCAATTTGTCATAAATTGTGTCCCTAAAATTGTAAAAATTCCCCTAAAATTGTAAAAATTCCCCTAAAAATGTTACAAAATACCAATACTTATTTCTGTCACTAGGGCGGCGTGGTGGTCAGTGTGATCCTAGGGATCCTATAGGAGGGATGCGCCATGTACATTGCTGGGGGACCGGAACTCGATTTTGCGCGCGAATGATTCAAACATTGAAATAATTATGGAATAATGAATTGCATCAAATACAGAAAAAAGATGAACTATATTTAATGATAATTAAAAATTTATATTAAAATAGAATAGGTTACACGAAAAAATTATTATAAATTCAAGCGGTCCCCCAAAATTTTCAGCCAATGGCACATGAGCTGAATATGAATGGCACATCCCTCCTACAGGATCCCTACGTGATCCTAGTGACGTCATTTAAATCTGTTTATATAATTTCAGGTATGTACAAATAATTTTATTTAATATTGTCGAGCGTTAAAAAATCTTAGCAATTACAGCGCACCCTGGAATAAAATTTTATTGGTTCTATATTTTGGAATACTCTTTTCAACAATGCAATCATTCTTTGTGTTTCTATCTCTGTCCCTACGATATTCCTAAAATCAAAATCGATAAATTCTAATATGTATATAGAATTAACCAATAGAAAAAGTGATCAACAATTCATGGAAAGTTGGGGATTGAAGTTGGGGACGGTGACAGACAGGAGAAGATGACCAATCAAAAATACATGAATTCGATTCGATTGTGGAAAATTTTCTTCTCGATTATTAACGATTTAGAAACTAACTTCATTGCAAAGTAAAAAAAAATAAATTGAATGGGTCAAATGAAATTGAGTGAGACGAGAAAAAAAGGTGTACAATTTCTTACAAAATTTAATAGTTTAGTTCAAAGATGTTTGTCATTGACGGAATCGTACAATTTGTATCACCTTGTGTTTACACTGTTACGTTGTATGTGTGTTTGTGTGTGAGGTATTCGATCGATTGTAAAGAATCGAAACGAGATAGAACTGATAGAAAGGGTGAGAAGGAAAGGGGAAGGGAAAGGGAGACGAAAAGGGACAGAGGGTTACGTTGGTATACGTGCTTTCCCTGTCAAATATTTCGTTGGTTTGTCTATCCCCTCCCACCACCCCTCCACCCACACACTTTTTTATACGGTCTACCAATTCGAAATTAATCTGCACCGGAGTTTCACCGACAACAAATTATCGAGTTTATATTTATCGGCATGAACGATTGCGAATTAACATGGGCGGCATCTGGTTAAACAAATATTATCGTTACAATACTTTTGGATTAAATAAGATGGTCAGTAGATGACTATTTTACGAAGAACAAATAAAATAATATGATAAAGAAATAATTTTGTAGGTTATGTTGGAGAAATTTCGTTCTTTTTTCCTTTTTAAATTATTTATTTATTTGTTAAGATGAAAGAATGAAGGTATGTCGTTTGAAAAAATTTTGAAACATATTTTTTATCTATATTTTGTTTATTATTTATTTATGTATATTTATAAAAGATTACTTTATAAAAGGTTAGTGCAAAAGTGGAAGATTATTTTTTGCTTATCAAATATTTGGATTCAATGAGATGTTTGTTTGATGCTCATAAGTAAATAAAAATAAAAAAAATAAAATAATTTTTAGGTTATGTCTTAGAAATTTCGTTCCTTTTTGAAATTATTTATTTGTTAAGATTAAAATGAAGGTATGTCGTTTTAAAAAATTTTGAAAGATATTTTGTGTGTATATTTATTTATTATTTATTTATATATATATTTATAAAAGATAATTTTAAAAAAAGGTTATAGTGCAAAAGTGAAAGATGATTTATTATTTATCAAATATTTGGATTCAATAATATGTTCGGTCTTATTTAAATGAAAATTTAAAAAAAAAATACTTTTTATTTTATGTCTTAGAAATTTCGTTTTTTCAAAATAATTTATCTGTCTATTTCAATATTTCTTTTTTCTTTGGATAGTAAGATAAGATTGAAAGGGGTATGTAGTTTCAAAAAAATGTAGAAAATATTTCTATTTCTCCTAAAAACATTTGGAACAAATCTGTATGTATTATTTATAAAGGATTATTTAAAAAAAGGATGATCCAAAAAATAAAAGATGATTTATTGTTTATCGAACTGACTTACAAAAAACCACATTGATATGCATCGATAGATAACTCGCATAAGTTTGTTGTCCATAAGTTACACATGTCCTGTCCGTGTAGATGAGTAAACGGTAGTTCATTTTTTCCCAGACGCATTCCAACATATCTACGGTTATTCGGTTCACAGCATCAGGGATGCTGTTTTTCAAATTGTCCAGGTGTTGCGAAAATAAAGAAAACCTACGCAACATTTTTAACGTATACCCCGCAAAAAGAAATCGCAAGGTGTGTAAATCAGATGACCTTGAAGTCCCAGAATGGCATCGACAATTCCTGACAGGTCTAATCTAGCGCTCTGATAGGTCGGAACTCGGATGTTCGCGAACGGTTCAGTGGAAATGAGGAGGAGTATCATTCCATCGAAAGATGAGGTTAGGACAATCCTCCTTTACTTGAAGTATAAGTCATTCCATTAACATGTCCAAGTAGAGGTAAGTCCCGTGACAGTTGACTCGGCAAACAAGAAAGGCCCATACACTTTGGGTCTGTTCGTCGCGCAATACACGCGAATACGTGTACACGGACAGACACGTAAACTTATGGACAACTAACTTACGATTGTCATCAATCATTGTACATACCATTGTGGAACGTGTATGTCAGTTCGGTAAAGGATAAATCAGCTATTCTTTTGTACCATCCTTTTTGAATAACTCTGTATATACGGGACACATAAATTGAGAGTGGTAGGAAACAGTGTATGTGTGAGTAAGAGAGAGAGAGAGAGAGAGAGAGAGAGAGAGAGAGAAATATTTTGATATTCATATTGTAATTTATACCGTAAAACGAGCAACAAAACCCAACGTGTGTCCGTCCACGGTCATCCTGCTCGTTTTTACGATTTACAATAAACTGGCTTGTACGAATTTACACGAAACAAGCTCGTCGTCCATCTATCGACGTCCAATTTATATCGAACCATTCCCCCACCCCCTCCCTCGTCCCTCTCTACTATGCTTGCTCTATCTCTTCGGCTTTCGGTTGAACATTTTACACACGAATTCGTTTCTACGATTCGTGTTTCATAATACGCGACATACTTTTGCGAAAAGAAACTTTTCGAGCTACTTATATTTTTCTTGAACGATTTTTGATGTTCCTATCTGGAACACACTTCTAACTTATATATTGAAAGTTTCTTTTTTTTGCTCCTTCACTCTCTCTCTTTCTCTTTCTCTCTCTCTCTCTCTCTCTCTCTCTCTCTCTTTCTCTTTCTCTCTTTTTCTTATTTTTCTTATTTTTTCTTTATTTTCTCTCATTTTTATACAAACACGTATCAAATATTTGTACGTGAGTGTTTGATCGTCTTATATAGAAAAAAAATAAAAAATAAAACGAAATTTCTTCAACGTTCAAATAAACCATCATTTTTTTTTTGTCTCATTTCATTTTTAAACCTAAATAAATTGTATTATATCGTTTTATTACAGTTAAACGAATTACTAGTGGCCGAAAACGATTTGAGAACATTTCTACACTTAGGTCATCATTCCGGTCCAGTAACAATTTTCATTTTCATTCTCCTCGTCATCCTAATTTCCTGTACGTTCGCAGTGAGTACAGAAAAAAAAAATATAAATAATCTTTTCAATAAAGCTCTTCACTTAGATACTAAATTATCCAACCTACCATATATAAATATACAGGGTGATTCATCAACTCTTGCCACTTAAGTAGCTCCGAAAGTCTAATAGTAACAAAAAAAATGGATGAAACAAAAGTTGCTTGAAAAATTCAAGACTATAATAGGACATTAGTATTTTTTTGTTTGGTTAAGTCACTTTCGAGATTTATTGGTCGACTTTGTTTTTTTAAATACAATGTTATATTTTAATAACTATTAATGGATAGCGACTGACAAGACGAATCCAATGATATGCAACATTATTATTTTTGAAGGTCAACGCAGGTCAAAACTAGCGAACAAGCTAGTCACAATACAGGTGGCGTTGTGATCGCATCAGAGTAGCGTTCACTGCAACTTCACTCCGTCAAAAAACGGAGCAGATATTTTTTGAATTGTTTTTATTGGTCATTGTCAGGTTTTATATTTAATGTTGCACATCATTGGATTTGTCTTGTCAGCTGCTATCCGAAAATTAATATTAAAATATAACATTGTATTTAAACAAACAAAGTTGATCAATAAATCTCAAATAAGACTTAACCTAACAAAAAAACACTAATGTCATATTGTAGTGCTGAATTTTTCATGCAACTTATTTCTTATCTATTTTTCTACTACTATCATACTTTCGGAGCTATTTAGGTGACATGAGCTGATGAATTAACCTGTAAATATATATATATATATATATTCTATATAAAAATGAAGTAAATAAATGGTATATTTAATATTTTTATTTTTTAAAACGAGAGAAAAAAGAGAGAGGCCAACCATTGAAATCGAGAAATCGCAATTTCGTTTAGCTTCGTTCCATCGGAGTTGCAATCAAAGATGGCGCATACTGGACTGCGAACACCCGTCCGATTTGAATCCGACGTTTATTAATTTTATTTTACTTTTTCTTTTTTTTCTGTATTTTTTTGACTCGCCAACAATATAGATACACACACACATATATATATAAATATACAAGGAAAAAGAAAAAAAAAAAGAAAAAAAAGGCCAACAAGTTTTCCAATATCGGAATTTATTTCAGAGCTCGTCTGTGTTGACCACGAACGAAAAAGTCCTCGGGGAATCTCAAAACGATATCGAGAAGGTAACATAATTTTGTTTTCATAGAGATAGGAATACTGGATACTAACGAAACACCTGTCGATTATTTTATTCATAATTTATGATTTAGCGAATGGCACGTAAAGTTAGTTTAATTGGCATCAGACCTGCTTACAAATGTATTCACAAACACGTAAGTACATATTACGTTTATATAATAAGACCCTGTATAACAATTTCATTTTATACTAAATCAAAAAATGCAAAAGATATTATTAAATATAAATAATTATATTAAATAAAATTCGATATTTTTTGATTTGTAATTGTATAAATTGGTGATTAATTTCTGTTAACATTTCTTGCAAAGATACTTTAATTTATTACCAGATTTCAACTGGATAAAGAATTCCGAATTTTTCTTCCAATTATATGAATCTTTTACTTTAACTTTTCTGGAGATTATTGAAATCACGGTTGGAAAAAGTTTCCATCGATTTTCTCACTAGATGACATTAAGGTCATGTAAAATTCTGGTAATACTAATACTATCATGTTATACTAACATTCGTTATAGCGTGCGTTTAAAAAGTGATATATTATAAATTAATTAAAAAAAATAAAATAAGAGAATGTATTCATTCAGTCAGAAGTAATTGCGTCTTAGATACATTTAAAAAATCTACTTCGTAAAGGAAAGAACACAACGCGGACAGTCAACAAAATTTGTTTATGATAAAAGTGTGATATCAGAGAAAACAGTCTATGAACGATTCACACGTTTTCGGTTTACAAATTTCAATGTCGAAAATGCACCTAGCTTTGGTCAACCAATCGTTGAAAAAGTCAATGAAATTATGCAAAAGTTGGACCAAGCAGTCGTGACATTGCTGAGGAACAAAAAATCAATCAACTAACAGTTTGAAACCATTTGGAAAAGGCTTGATACTAAAAGAAACTCGATGTTTGGGTGTCACATGATTTAAAAATAAAAGAAATATAATCGATCGAATTTCCATTTGCGAATCGTTGCTAAAACGGAACGAAATCGACCTAATTTCTAAAACGTTTAATAACGGATGATGAAGAAAGGATCACTTAGGACAATAATCAAAGAAAAAGATTATGGTCGTAACAAGGTAAAGTTCCACAAACGGTGACAAAGCCAAGGGTTGACGACAAGAAAAGTGATACTGCGTGTTTGGTGGGATTGGAAAGGTATCCTACATTGTAAACTGCTGCCACCTAATCAAACAATTGATTCTGATCTCTACTGTCAGCAATTAACAACATTACGACAAACAATTAAAAAAAAGCTCGCCAGAATTGATTAACAGAAAGTGTGTCGCGTTCCATCATGAAAATGTCAAACCAACATGCATCTTTGATGACCTGGCACAAATTGAGAGAGCTCGGTTGGGAAATTTTGATGCATCCACCGTATAGTCCTGACATTGCACCATCAGATTACTATTTGTTTCGGTCTCAACAGTACTCTTTTAAATGTTGTAAAGTTCATTTCAAACAATACCTGTAAAAATCACTTGTCGAAGTTTTACCGCACAAAAAATTCCCAGAAGTTTCGCAATAAGACAATAGTGATTTTACCAGAAAAATAACCAAAAAAGTTTATTCGAAATAATATATAAAAATATGATTGTGCATTTAGTGTCAAAATTGACGGAAGATTTTTTTGACTAATCTTAATTATTATTTCTTGTTTTTGAGATTAAATAAAGTGAACAAATAAATTGTAACTTAAATTATAATCGATCGATATCTACTTTGTAATTAAAATGAATTCTTTTTTGAAATAATGCAAATAATTCTGTACTGAAATCAATCGTTTCACTATAAACATTTTAAACAAATTTGTTTTATATTAAAAGAATTCATGTAAAATTTTGTTTCATGTTTATCCAAAGATGACGCATATATTTTATATATCGGAACATTAACTTTATAATCTCATCATGCAAAGACACTTATGCAAATTTTAATGCATGTTATAAAGGGTCTTATTGTATATGTGTGTTTATTGTGTGTAAATAAATTTCTTTTATTATTATTAAAAAATTATTTATTGATTATTAGTTGCAACAGAAAGAAGTGTTTCAAAGGAAAACCAAAAAATTAGTAAGTATTAATCAATTAACAATGATTGACGAATATACTTGATTAATTAAACAATAACAATATAATATTTTTTATTATTGTTTTATTTTAACAACAGAATTTAGTTATTAAATTTATCAAAAAAATCTCACTGTACAATTTTACTAGTTAAACAACAAATCTAAAATAATTATATTAAATAACTATTAAGATTTCTAGATGACTAGTATAATCGTTGATCACAGTTAACCTATTAAAACTAACATAATTTAAAACTTAGAATAAATGAACACTTATTCTAATTTATATTTACACCAATCGGATTAATAGTTACGCAAGGAACTGTTGGACGTGGAAATAATGAAAAGCAAAATAACCTGTCTCGAGAAATTGTTAAAACCCGAAGTGAGTTAAACGAGACGTATTCCTATCGCTTAACAACAAATGAAAAGAAATTCATTTCTTCTTAGATAAAAGAGAGAAGATTTCAATTGAATAAAATAGAAACAAACGGAAGAGTCATTGTTTTGACTCTCGTAATTTCAAGCAATAGTCTCTCTATCTCTCTCCCTCTTTCTCTATTTTCCTTTATCTTTCATTCACTCATTATTAACAATTCATAATTAACTCGTTCATATAATTTCAATCTAAACAGATAATCTTATTCTGTTAATTTATATTGTGAAAATAACAAAAAGAAAAGAAAAAAATAAGAAATATAGTTTGAAATCATTCATGTTATCTATTCTGTCATTCATGTTAATCCTTTGAATATTATGGACGTATATATGCGTTTGATAAAATTCGGCAGAGTGTGATTTATCGACGTATATATGTGTTTGTCAATAGGAATGTTAAATAACGTAATGTTGGTTTTGTTTATATTGTTTATTGTTTTTGAGTTTTGTCGTATTAATATTATATTTAACAAATTTATTATTAAATTAATTATTAATTATTAAAAACTTATATAATATATTAATATATATTAATATATATGTGTGAATATATTATATAATATATAAAAATTTTAATTATTATTTCTTATTGGTCGTCAGGTTATTATATTATCACACTATTGGCGAGTCGGGTGGTTCTACCCGTTTTACAGACTGGCGCTGGTCGGCGGGTCGCGTATTAATACGTTTTATGCAGAACGTAAGCTAAGTTTCAGTAAAACACTTACTAATGCTTGTTTTTTTTTCATTGTCATTAATTTTTTAACATGAATGATATTTTTGGTTGTTATTTTTTGTAAAGCCTGGCCAGTTTTTAGTCCAAAATTTATTAATTTTTAAGAAAAACTAATAATTATATGAAATGTGTTATTTTGACACTGCAAGTATCGTGCTTACAAAGTAGCATAAATTCAGTTGATTGATTTTGATAGCATTGAGTTTGTTTTGTACATCTTCGAAATACTATTTGATGTAAAGATATAACATGTTTTCTAAAAAGTGCGCTGCTTTTATATTTCGCTCATTTGCGCCCGCTACACGCGTGACTCAAGCTCACGACGTTCCCGCCGATAGTGTGTTAATAATTTATTGTATTAACAATAATATATATACTTATTGTATTGTTAGTACAATAAGTTATAAGTGGTTTCGGTAAATATTGTTCAACACACAGCACAACACAATTTATTATAAATTATTTTATAATATAATTATATATTTATTTTATATTATATAAAATTATATTATTAATTATATAATATTATAATATATATATAACTATAAATGTTATAAATATCAACATAAACAAACAAACAAAAAATTGTTCAGTATTATAAAAATAACTTATTATTTATTAGAAATTATTTATTTTTTTTTTAATAAAATTTTTATTTATTTAATTATTTAGAACATATATTTATTATTTGTAAGTCACATCCCAAATGACTTACGACCAATAAAAGTTATAATTATATATTTAATATATATTATTATATAAATTATTATTATAATATTATTAAATAAAATATATTTATTTTATTTATTATTAATTTAAATATAATTATTAATATATTATTTAATATTATATATTTTAACTTTTATTAATTTTTATTAATATATTTAAAGTTTTTTTATAATTAAAGTTTTTATTATAATTTTATTTTTTTTAATTAAAAATTTATTATTAAAATTTAATAAATAATATACCAATCAACGTCTAATTATTTAATTTTATTTATTTATTATTTAATAAAATTAATAAATATAAATATATATATCTATATAATATTAAAATATTTAATTATTTATAAATATTTAATTAATTATTAAAATCTGATTAAATAATATATTAATCAACATTTAATTTTTTTATTTTACTTTATTTTATTTATTTATTATTTAATAAAATTATTAAATATAAATACAATGTTATATATTGAATTATTTAAAAATATATAATTTATCATTAAAATCTGATTTAATAATATATCAGTCAACGTAACAATTACCATAATAATAAATATTTATATAAATTAATAAATTATTTTTTAATTAAATAATAAAAAACTATTCCAACTATCTTTGTTTCTAACAACAAAAAACTTCATTTAAAAGTATTTTTCAACATTACTCCCAATGGGTTAAAGTGTAAAAAAAAAAACACATAAAAAAGTCATCATTTTCATTACTTTCTTCAAAGATGTCTATATGAAAAGATAACGGAGGACAGATTTTGAAGTAACACGGATTCGAACGTACGAAATTAGATTCGCCTTGCGGTTAGTAGCGGTTGTGGTACCTACTACCCCACTAGTAGTTGTAATACTAGTAGTAGTAGTAGTAGTAGTAATAGTAGTAGTAGTAGTAGAAGTAGTAGTAGTAGTAGTAGTAGTAGTAGTAGTAGTAGTAGTNTAGTAGTAGTAGTAGTAGTAGTAGTAGTAGTAGTAGTAGTAGTAGTAGTAGTAGTAGTAGTAGTAGTAGTAGTAGTAGTAGTAGTAGTAGAAGTAGTAGAAGTAGTAAAAGGTGGGAAAGTAGGGGGTAGGAGGAGAGGGTGGGGGTTGGTTGAGGGTTGGCGTCGATCGAGCCAGGGGAAGACACGTCCTAATCCAACCCTACACCCCTTTCCCCTTCCCTATTGGCCATCCCTACCAAGCACAAAACCCTCAGCTCACCCCCCACCCCTTCCTCCCGACCGATCTCGTCGGGTCGATGCGCTTTTTCCATGCGTACGAAACGGGGATAGAATGCTAAAGGGGATCGAGCTTTCATCTTCGGTGCTTGCGTAGAAATTGGTTGAATAGGATGTGGGCTTTTTTTAAATGAACGTTTTTAATCGATCAAGAAGTAACGCGTGTAAGATTGTTTTAACCTTTTTGTTCTACTTGAAAAATGAAATGAAAACGAGATAAAGAGAAAGAAAGAGAAAGAGAGAGAGAGAGATTGATCATGTTTAAATAAATAATTATTTAATTATCATATATAATATATGTATTATATTAAAATATTGAATTATTTATAAATATTGGACTGTTCGGAAAGTAATTTCGTTTTTTCTCGACACAATTTTAACATTAATTGATGCAAACCGGCAAATAAAATCACGCAAGATCAGTGAAAGGTTAAATTTATCAAATTCAACTGTTTATGACCACTTAAAAGGCCTAAGTTTAATTTTGAAGCAAAAATTGTCTTCATGTTCACGAAGAAAAAAAATGAAATTACTTTCCGAACAGCCCAATTTATAATTATTTATTAAAATCTGATTAAATAATATATCAATCAACGTAAAATGTAACATAATAATAAATATAATTTACTTTTTAAAATTTTTATAATAAAATATAATATTATTTTAATATTTATTAACCTTTAACGGTTGGTAAGTCACCTATCACGTGACAACGGTGCTTTGTCGCGGCAATCGCACGTCACGTGGTAGGTGACAACTAGTCAATTGAAAAACCATATTTAACATTAGATTTATAGACTGAGCCAATTTAACTCATTTAAAATTTTTTTTGTAAATATATATCATACACGAAACTTAAGTATTATATATTTTAAAAATATATGTTGATTTTTAATGGCGTAATAAAATATAAGTAAATGATAATGTTTTCACTTTGCCCGCACTTTCTTTCATTCAAACAATATTTGTAAGTTTTTTAGAAAATAGTGAACACAATGTCCGTAAATCTAGTGTTAACGAAATCTAGTTACAACTCTAGCGAGAATAAAGTATGAAAATCTAGTGACTAATAAGAATTAACATTTATTTAATATTATTTATATAAAATTTTAATAATTTTGGATATTACTTATAATTTTTATTTTATATTCATGTTATTTATTTTATTTATTTTATTTATACCATATTTATAATTTTTAATATTATTTCTATAAAATTGAAATAATTTTTATATAATTTATAATTTTTAATATTATTTATATAAAATTTTAATAATTTATATAAACATTTATAGTTGTTTAAATCGTATAATTGTGTTGTATGCTTGTACTTTTTAATTAAATGTAAAAATAATTTTATAATGAGTGTCTTATTTATAATAATAATAAGAAGAAGAAGACGAAGAAGTAAAAAGAAAAAAGAAAAAAGAAAATTTAATAGTATAGTTATTTCTTGTTTCAGGAGCAATGCGAATGGCGACGAACCAGGTCACCCAGGGCTTACTATCGCGCGATCGGTGTTACGTCGAAATGATATTGCAACGATTAAATAAAAAAGAAAGAAAAAAAAGAAAAACAAGAAGGAAGAAATATTAAATGGAAAAAGGAAAATGACGTAGTATTTTCGTGTAAACTTCTACCTATCTAATTGTTCTTTTTCTTTTTCTTTTTTTTTCTCCTACCATGAAATCGCAAACTGCATTTACTTTTTATAATGTGTTTAATAAAATTCTCTTGTGTAAAACCGTAGTTAAAAATGTTACCAGTGTTATATTTGTATATTTTGTACGTTTTTATATGAAAATAAGTCCATCAGTATTGTATTTTTGAATTTAATGCCGGAACAACAATTTTGTGTGAAGTATTGTTTATGCGATAAGAATTTGTTTATTTAACGCATATACGAAGGTACAATTATTTTCGGACAAAATTTGTTGTGTTATTTCAAAAAGGTTTTCATTCTCTTTTACAAAGTTGCATTGAGAGTAAAATAAGTTAATTTTGTTTACAATTGAAAAAGAATTTTTTTTAAGTCATGATTTCAAAAATTTACCCCGTCCCTCCCCCAAAAAATAAATATTAATATAATAATATATATTTAATACTATAATTTAGATTAAATTAAATAAATTATATTAATTAATGAATATTTATATATAAATTAATAAATTAATTATATTATTTTTTTTTTGTTGAGGTTTGTTAACCCGGGCGCTCAGTCTCTGGACCATTGTGCCCGGGCCCCTTGCGGGGAAAAACCTATGACTGTAGCGGTCCTGCGGGTAGCCCAAACTCCCTTGCAAAGCGCAGCTGTCTGGCCGCCCTTGAGCACACTAGGTCGAAAGTTTTGTTGACGGTGGTCCCAAGGACATCATTTCTGACGTCCGTGAGCCCAACGCATTGAGTTATGAGATGGAGGGGGGTATCCTCCCCTTCGCTGCACTTGCCGCAGACCGAGTCTTGTGCAAGGCCCAGTCGCGTAAGGTGCTTTCCAAGGTGCCAGTGCCCGGTGACCAATCCCATAACCAGCCTCAATTGGGCTCGGTCTAGGTTGATAAACTCGGTACCTAGTTTCTCCGAGGACCCTGAGAACAGAACCTTCGTGTGCCTCATGCCAGGATCTTGCACCCAGAGATCCCTGAAGCGGTCCGTGGCCCACTTCTTAGTCCTCCTCCGCATAAGCCCCCATGACACGCTGATATGGCACCGATTTGCCGGATCGTGCCGTGAAGTTCCAAGTCTGGCAAGCTCCTTGCCCTGAACGCCACTGTGACCCAACATCCAGAGCAACTTTACTCTGTTGACACTGCCTAGCCGTGTCAACAAGTCGACACAGTCCTTCTCCAGCCCTGACTTGACCACGGTGCTGTGTACAAGTCTGAGCGCAGTGTGGCTGTCACTACAGATGTAGATATGTTTGCCATAGTACCCCCTTTCCAAGATACTGTGAGCACTGGCCCGAATGGCAAACAGCTCCGTCTGGAGAACAAAGGCGGTACCGGTTAGGGTGTAGGACAGCTCAATCCTAGGCCCTCCAGACCAGACCCCTGCTCCCGCGTTGGAACCCGCTTTAGCCCCATCCGTATACCAGACGGGCCCCGCGGGTGCCAATAAATGATTTGGGTCCGCTGCCCATGACTGTCTGTCTGGGAAGAGGACCTCATAGTTGTGCTGGAAATGGTACTCCTTTGGACACCAGTCACCCCCAAGGCGGTTGACTTCCTCGAAGTCTCCCGTTCTTACTAGGATCGATGCAGCCCTGACCAGTGGCTGCTCCCTTCTCCACTTCTTCGCTGTGCAGCTTGGAGACTGGGCACTGCAAAGCCAATCTGGCTTTGCGTGCCCTTCTCCTCGCAGCCCCGCTCCGATTTTTATTCTTAGGTGTTTTGGGCGTTGAGTCCGTGGGTCCATCTTTCGCCGATCCCTCTTCTCCAACGCTCAAAACCAAGTCTCCGACGATCAGATCCAGAGCCCTCGTCATTTGTTCCACGGGATCCGATCCGCTTCCGCTCTCAGCTGTATGGACTGGAGTCGGTTCTTCTTGTGATGTCCCCACGCCAGCTTGTGTTTTTGTTTGTGTGTGATTTTTATTGGCTTCCATATGAGTCCCACGAGTAGACAGGAAATAAACGGTCCGTCACCACAGAGCCTGTTGCGGTGATAAGGCAAGATACAATGGGTAGTTGCCCGGTACCCCAAGCGCATCGTTTGCGACACTTTACCCAAGTGCCATCCAGCCATCGGCACGATTGCTTCCACCTTGGATTGGGAAGTGGTCCACAGCGAAGCCTTCGGTCCCTTGGGCCGATTTTACGTCAGCCGGGTCCCTTATAGCCTGCGCTATCCCGCGGTTCCATAGGCCCCCGTGCCCGGGGTCGCGGTCACCATTGACGCCTCGCTCCCCGCCACGAGAAACCAACCTTTCCCCTGGACGTCCTTCTATCCGCCACCTGAAGACGCGCCCGGTTGGCCTCACCCATGCCCCCGGACCTCTTCACGAGGCCCGGTGAGCCCAGGAATTATATTATTAATATAAATAATAAAAATTATAAAATTTATTATTAATTATAAAATTATAAAAATTATTAAATTATTAAAAATATTAAAAATATTAAAAATAATAATTAATATAAATTAATTTATATATAAATAATTATAAATTAATATATATAAATTATTAATAAATATTTATTATTTATAAGATTTATAAATTAATAAATATAGCATATATATGTTTATATGATATTATTATAAATTAAAATAATAATTCCTAAGTTGGAAGAAAAATTAGAAATTTTTTTGTGATAAAAATCTTAGTAATAAATTCCCGCTTTTTTTTTGCAATAATGTACTAAAAAAAGAATGAACAATTAGTTCGATTAGAAAAAATTATTTTTTAATTAATTTATATTTATAGAAAATATAAAATATTATATTAATATTATATAAATTATATAATATATAATTTAAAATAATTATTATTTTTTAAATAATTTATATTTTTATTTAATCTATATATTTTATTAATTTATACTTAATTAATTTATTTATTTAGTTATTATTTTTTTGTGCTTTTGAATTAGTAGAACGGAATTACAAATTTGTTGAAAAAGGTTGCTCATTTCTGATGTGAAAATATGAGTTAAGGGTTGCTTCAGGGTTACGTCAGAGTTTGTATATTTTTTTATGGCTAAAAACTTTTATGTCATAAGAAATTTATTTGTTTTAAAGAGTGTGTAATAGTTTAATAATTGCAATTTCTGTGCAAAATATAAATTATCTTTTTTCAAAACAAAATTCATTCCAAAATTACAAACCAGCATCAATTGTAAAGTAAATCAATTTTGTTTACAATTAAACAATAAATATTTTATTTAACAATCATAATTCCAAAAATTTGCTAAAAAACAAAAATAATCCATATAAATTTAATTTATTGTTATAAAAAAAAAAAAACACGACCAATTTTTAGTCCATTGAAAAATTCTTGAAAAAAAATAAATTCATTCCAAAATTAAAAACTAGCATTTATTAAAAAACAAATCAATCTTTTTACAATTAAACAAATAATATTTTATTTAACAGTCATTATTCCAAAAATTTGCTAAAAAAAAAAAAAGAATAATTCAAATAGATTTGAATTATTGTTAACAAAAAATGAACAATTTGTATTCGATTGCAAAATTCTGAAAGAATTAAATCTTGATTTACAATTTCCTTACGAATAAATATAACAAAAATGAATGAATAATTTGGGTATAATTAGAAATGAATAAAAAATAATGAAAAATATAATTTCATAATGAATTATTTATTCTTATGTTAGTTATAATTCTTGATGTGCTTTTTGAATTCGTATTATAAAGCAAAACGTATATCACTTGTTATAGAAGGTTCTACCACGGGTTGATATCTGATATTACTACAACTACTACTACTACTACTACTACTACTACTACTGCATACTACATACTACATACAACTACATGCAGAACAACGAACTTTGCCGTTAACTAGTCGTATCTACTTACATGCATAATTCATTTTACACACAGGTGACGTATGCAATAATAGAAACAATAGAGAGAACGGCAACGCTCGGTTTGCAACAATAATTCAACCCTTCTACTACGTGGTTTAAGGGTTTCACTTGCTATGATAAATCTCAGCACTGGTTTATATCAACGATTCTTTTTTTTTTTGGATATACATATATCTAAAAAAAAAACCCAAAACAACCAAAAAAAAAAGAGGAAATAATGTTTATCTCGTTCTTCGAAAAAAACAAATTCGAATTTGTCAGATTTAAACCGAGAAAATCCGAAATTCGGCAGAATAACCGAAGGACACGGTGAAAAGGGAGGGAAAGGGGGTGAAATCGAATAAATTTATTCATATCGAAGATTTTTCTTATTTTTGTTTGAAATATTTATAATAAATAAAAAGGTCAAAGAGAACAAAAAATATGATACGTGAAATAAGAAAAAGAATTTCGTACGAGACCAGCGGACAACTTAAATCGAAAAGAAAAGAAAAGAAAAGAAAAAGAAAGGAAAAGAAAAAAAAATCTTTATCGTTTTCACGTAGAAAAATCTACATTTCTTTCGATGATCGAAGAAAACATGGGGGAGGAGGGGGGGGAGGGAACACTCTCTCAAACGTGTTTCCAACGGAATACGTGCTGGCACGAGCCAACTTAACGGAAAAATATCCACCAACTCCGGAGAGAGAGAATAAATTTTGCATGAGGAAATAGAAGAAGAAGAAAACGAATAAAAAAAATAAAAAAAAAAAAGAAGAAAAAGTATAAACAAAAAATATTAGGATGATAGCAAAAAGTTCGTGAATTTATTCTAATAAATTGTATCATAAATTGTATAACATTGAATTGTTATTGTAAAAAATTTACATTGAAAATATTAAATGCAGGATAACTTCTCCGAATTATTAAAGCTAAATAGATTCCTAAAAAATTAATTAATTTATTTATTTATTAATATTAAATTATATTAATAAGTTGTATCATAAATTGCATAACATTGAATTGTTATTGTAAAAAATTTACATTGAAAATATTAAATACAGAATAACTTATCCTATTAATTAAAGCTAAATAGGTTTCTAGAAAATTTCATGTTGTTAGAACCAACCATATTCCAGAACCCAGAGTTTATTATTACTTCACGTTATTATTTTAAAGTAATTGGATTTTTAAATATGTTAAATAAAATCATGTTAAAAAAAAACCAGTGCTAGTAAAAGTACAAAACCTGTTGTAAAAAGGTTATAGCAATTTATGAATCATGTTATAACGAAACCTTATTATAGGATGCCGGGTTAACTGTATAAAATACTCACAAAACTTATGATTCAACATAATAGAATTCAACCGTAAATGTTCGAAATTTTTATTGAAAGAGTTCAAGTAGAAAACTGATAAAAAAGACAGACAGTAAAAATATTAATTTTTATACAGACAATAAATAAAGAAAAATAAAATGATTGAATGATTTTTTGCAAAAAATTGAACTCATGTGTTGAAAGTCTTTGCGAATACCCCCCACCACACCCCCAACCTCAATGAAGGTGGACATTCTTCATCCAGGGTCACGTACGTGGAACACATTCATATATATGTGTGTGTATACAGTTATATGAGGGGTTTAGAGAGTTGTTGTTTGTATTAACGCGTGTCAGTTTCTCTGTATCCGTCTTTAACGTGTCTATCTATCCCCGAGTTAGGTTAGCGTCAGTGTGTCAATCTCGTAGAAGGGGTATTCAACCCCCAATTCCTCCCCCTCTCTACTTACGTGTCCTCTACTTGCGCGTAACAACTCCACGTGCCTCCAAGAATCTCTATACGTATATGTATACGTGTGTGGTAGTGTGTTAGTTATTTAGAGTTATAATAGTGGACAACGATGACTATGACGAGGTATTTGTTAGTGTGTGAGTTAGCACGCATGTCATAAGTACTATGTAGTGGTATTAGTAGTAGTAGTAGTAGTAGTAATACAACACCACGTGCCTCCAAGAATCTTTGTGCCTATATGTATTTGTATATGTGTGTTAGTGTGTTAGTTATTTAACGTTATAATAGTGGACAACGATGACTATGGCGAGGTATTTGTTAGTGTGAGAGTTAGCACGCATGTCCTAAGTACTATGTAACAGTATTAGTAGTAGTAGTACAACCCCACGTGCCTCTAAGAATCTCTATACGTATATATATATATATATATATGCGTGTGTGTTAGTGTGTTAGTTATTTAGAGTTATAATAGTGGACAACGATGACTATGACGAGGTATTTGTTAGTGTGTGAAAGTTAGCACGCATGTATTACGTTGTAGTAGTAGCAGTAACGATATTGGACCTGGTTATTCGTGGAACGTAGATGTCGCCAGATGCGACGTTGGGTTTGTGCCTTTAGCGTGTATCCCTTTGCCCCACCATCATACCTTGTCCTATCCCCACTTCATCTACCGAATGTTACCCCACCGAGCAGGCGCCTATTTCCATTCAACCCCCTACACCGTCGTCCCGTTCTCCCCTAACAACTCTCTCTCACCCCCCAACAACCACCCCTTTACGGCGAGCCAGGCCCGACTCAGAAATTGAACCACGGCTAGCTACGTGGTGTACGAGAACAGGGTCTTTGCTCCCGTTTAATATTTCAACCAGTCCATTGGCTGCCTTGAGCATCGACATGCGCACCCCTGTCCTCCCCCACACACCTACCTACCTACCTACCCACCTATCACCCCCTCAATCTCTTTCTCTTTCTCTTCTACACCTTCTCACAGCCTTCCCTTTCAATATATACATATATATATATATATATATATATATATATATATTTGAATAGATAGATATCAGTCTTTTACACATGGATATATATATATATATATATTCCATTATACATGAAATTTTATATGTATTTATTATTTTAATAAAATATAACAACATAAAAAATGATATTACAATTAGAATGGAATATATAAAATAATAATATACGAAAAAATAGAAAAAGTAAAGTTTTGTCGTATATAAAATAATTGAAATAATTGAATTAAAATACTACGACATTTATCGAATACTTTAAAAACCTAAAGATCTAGATAACCTTTAAATATAATAAATCTTTAAATTTGCTAAACAAACTTAATAAATAATTGCGATAAAAATTATCCCATATTCTAAGTTAGAACAAATGACATAAAATCAAACAAAATTCGTTAAGATCGGTTTAGTAGTTTCAGAATTATATGTAGACAAACATTAAAAAGGATATTACAATTAGAATGAAATATTGGGATCTTTAGCACTTGAATACGCTATCTGGTGGATAATTTCAAAATTGGAGTAGATGGTCGAATCGCTACGCCACGTGGGATCTCTAGCACTTGAATACGCTATCTGGTGGCTAAATTCAAAATTAGAGTAAATAGGTTGAATTGCTACGCCACGCCCCTGCCAGAGATTCCAATATAAAATAATAATACAAGAAAAAATAGAAAAAGTAAGGTTGTGTCCCATATAAATCTGAAAAAAAAATTGAAATAATTGAATTGAAATATGGCGACTATGGAATACTTACAAAATCTAAAGATTTAAATAACCTTTAAATAATAAATCTTTAAATTTGTCAAAAAAAAATTTAGAAATGCGATAAAAGCTATCCTATATTCTAAGTTGGAACAAATCACAGAAAATAAAACAAATTTCATTAAAATCGGTTGAGCAGTTTCGAAGTTTTTAGTGGACGAACATATTATGACACTGAATTTTTATATAGATAGTTATATAGTTTAGATTATAGTTATAGATTACAGTTATATAGTTTATATAGTTTAGAATGCAATGGAGTAACATTCGAACATTTATTGTAATAAAATACATTACCGATATAAAACTTCAAATATCTCGTAAACTATTGACATTTCGATGACCATCATTTAATACTTTTTTACGCAGAATAAAAAAAGGAATCGAATAATGTTTAAAAAAATATAAAATTTCATTTAAAAAAAAAAGTACAACTGCATCTAGCGGGTGCATCGATGCATTTTCAAAAAAATTAAAGTCATAAAAAGTTGACACTTGTTGTGCCATATAACTTTTTCCTTTATCATTTTTTTTTATTGTTACTTAAAAAAAAGTTATTACCCGTTCCAGTTACAAGATTCATCCTGTATATATACATCTGAATAGCAGATATCAGTCTCCCATTTTACACATCAATATATTCACCTATATATATGTATAAGTAGTAGTGTAGTTATAGAAAGAGACAGCTCGTTACATTGAAAATCGTTGGATAATCTAACATGTCACACTCTCTTATGTTAGTATCGATGCTAGACGTTGAAAAATCGATTCTATCTTCTTCTTTCTCTCTCTCTCTCTTTCTGTGTAGGTTTCTCACTCTCTTGACGCGGTTAACTTGTTTACTCGAGTATCGATTCTAACGGTGCCAAATAGCACGCGGTAAAAGTCCAGGGAAGTATCTCTCAAGAGAAAATATGGTATTCTCTTATAGTCATCATAGTTTCAATCCTATTTAAGTAGTCCTACATTTTTTCATACTTCCGTTTCTCTTTCTCTCTGTTTATTTTGCTAACAATTTCTTTCATTTGACTTTAAACTAAAAGTTTTTATATTATTCTAACAGAATGTTTTAAATATTAATACAATGACACTTTACAATCTATAGGATTTTTATAAGTTAAAAAAATAATTTGTTTATTTTCTAAGTACAACGCGCCACTATAGTGGCTTTAGCGGATATCTTTTAAAATATATTATACTTAATTTTATTATTAATTATTAAAGTAAATTGTCTAATTTAAAGTATATGTTTATCAATTCTTTGAAAAAAATTATTATTTTATCATGAAAAACTTCATTAAAATGTACTCTCGTAGAGAACAGCCATTGATTCGTCACAAATCGTAGTTTTATTGTTTACTCGTAATTCTCATTGAATCCTGACGCACAAAGAAACAGTCCCACGTAACATTTAGCTGTGCCTAAGAGATTAATTTGACTGAACATTAAATAGTGGGTTCGAAATTACTTTCCGAACAATTTCGTTTTTTCCTGACACAATAAGTGACACAATTAGTTGATGCAAACCGGCAAATAACAACACATGGGATCGGTGAGAGATTAAATTTATCAAATTTAATTGTTCGCATGCCCACGTTCCATTTCAATGCCCACTTGAAAGGCTTAGGTTTAACCTTGAAACATTAAAAAAATTGTCTTCATATTCACGAAAGAAAAACAAAATTACTTTCTGAACAACCCAATAGCTTAAAATTATATTAAAAATCAACATTTTATATCAAAGTCACAATACAGCAACGCATAACAGAAGCACACAAAGCTAGTAATAAATAAAATATTTAATGAAAGCATGAAAATTATGTAAAGTTAAAGATGACATAATCTGAACTTATTGGAAAAGGGACGAAACCGTAGAATTATTACCAAAAACCGAGAGATGGGCTGATTATCTGCTACCCGTGCTAGCTATTTCGATCCTATATATACATATGTATGTGTACGGTGTGTGTAGATGGGTAGATAGATGGATGAGTGGGTGAACGAATGGAAAAGAGAGGAGAGGAGAGTAGTGGTATTAGAGGTGGGGTTGAGGATGGGAGGTTGAGAACGAACGATTTAACTTTTACGAGTCGTATCGGTGGAATCGAGCTCGCTAAGTCGTGCGAAAATACCGGTTGCTCCGGACATGCCGATAGGATTCCGAGAAATCGATTGCATACCTCGCTGCACCAACTTTTACATGTGTTTTCTCTCCGTTACCTCGTACATGTGTGTATGTGTGTCTGTGTGTATATTTATATGTGTATTTTGTGCATATTAATAATAATAATAGTAACATTAAGGTGAATCCTAGAGTTCGTATGTGTTTGTTTAGTTAATTAAATCAATTTTACAAAAATAATCCATTTAAGACGTTTATACAGCAATAAATGCAAATTTATAACAGGATAAACATATAGGGTTTACTCTAATTGTAGTAGTAGTAATAGTAGTATTAATAATAATAATAATAATAATAGTAACATTGAGATGAACTAAAAGTTCGTGTGTGTTTTTGTCTAATTAATTAAAAAAATTTTACAAAAACAATCCATTTATGCAATTTGTAACACAATAAATATATAGGGCTAACCCTGATTGTAGTAGTAGCAGCAGTAGTAGTAGTAATAATAATTGTAGTATTATTAATAATAATAATAGTAACATTAGGGTAGACCAAAAGTTCATGTGTGTGTTTACCTTCTCTTAATTAAAAAAATTTTAACAAAACAATACATTTATACAATTTATAACACAATAAACATATAAAGTTAACCCTAATTGTAGTAATAGCAGTAGTAGTGGTAGTAATAGTATTAATAATACTAGTAACATTAGGGTGAACCAAAAGTTTGTGTGTGTGTTTTTTTTTCTCTTAATTAAATAAATTTTATAAAAACAATCTATTTAGGGAATTTATAAAGCAATAAATGCAAATTTATAACACGATAAACCTATAGGATTAACCCTAATTGCAGTAGTAGTATTACTAGTAGTAGTAGTATTAATATTAATAATAGTAAAATTAGGGTTAACCAAAAGTAGATGTGTGTTTGTGTAGTTAATTAAATAAATTTTACAAAAACAATCCATTATGCAATTTGTAAAGTAATAAAATATGTAAGATGTTAACCCTAATTGCAGTAGTAGTAGTACTAGTAATAGTAGTACTACTAGTAGTGGTAATAGTTGTTGTTGTATTAGTCACATTTCGTTTATGTTAACATTAACTCACCATATTTTTTTCTATGCCACGAATTTGGTATTGTTAAGTTTTTTTTTCTAACAAAAATGTTATTTACTTTTTAAATTATTTACGTATTCATATATATATATAAATAAATATTTTATCGATATTTTCTGGGAATCTGACCGTCAGGTTTATAAGTATTTATGTATGAGTAGTACGAGAAAGAAAGAGAGAGAAAACGAGAGGGAGAGGAAAGGAGGGTGGATATGAGATGGCCGACAAGCTTCTAAAAAATACCCTCGAAGCGTTACTACCCTCACCAGGTAGCTTTTTTTTTTCTTTTCCCCTCCATTTTTTTTCTCTTTCTCTTTCCTACACACGCATACAGTCACATACACGATCTTTTTCAGGTTCGAACGAAGCAAGGAAGATCGAAACGAATGGGCCACACGTGTGCTACGTTTTCTTTCCTCCTTTTTTTCTACTTTTTTCTACCCCCCCCCCTCCCCACTCTTTTTTTCTTCTTCCTTTTTTTCTCTTTCCGTTTCCCTTCCTAGCTTCCTTCCTTCCTTCCTTCCTTCCTTTCTTCTTTTCTTTCAAACACATCCCCCAAGAGCCAAGCCATTTCGTCGATTTCCCGGAACTCGGAAAAGACAGTGAAACTCATGAAACGACACCCGCGAGCACCCCGTGATTTACACTCCTGCTGGGGACCCTTTCATCGACATTTTTTTATTTTATTTTTTGTTTGTAACTTTCACTTTTTTTTTTGTACACACGCGTTAAGATTGTTTGTCAAGGTGTATTTAGAATATACTGTATAAATATCGGCAAGAACATTACCTTAAATGAAATAAAAATGAGTATTATCATAGTTTGATTTCCAAAATTGATTTAATTTTATGTCATCATGTTTAATAATTTCAATAATCATTAAATATTATTAGACTGACGGATTCAGCTGATCAGCTAGGCTGATCATCCAAAAATATTGAAAAATATTTATCTACAATAATTTGTTTTAATCGAAACCTCGAAAGTACCCTAACCTATAAATGCACCAAACAGTACAATGAAAGATACAAAATTTAGAAGAAGAAAAACTGTGTTTTAAATTTTCAATCCCTTTAATATTTCAAATAATCATGAAATGTTACAAATTAAAATATTATGAAATGTTTATTCATTTGTTTATTTATATTTGTTTTAAATGAAATTTGGAAGTAGATTGATTTTCAAAATTGATTGAATTTTATGTCACGATCTTTAATAATACGATTAATCATAAAATATTAGGTGATTATCTTCATCATAAAAAATAAAATATTTATTCATTTGTTTGTTTATTTTGTTTTAAACGAAATTTGGAAATAGAAAGACAGACACCTAACCTATTAATGCACCAAGCAGTGTAGTGGAGGATAACAAATTTAGAAGAAGAAAAACTGTGCTTTAAATGTTCAGTCATTTAAATGAATTATAAAAATATACTCATGTCTATTGATTTTAATCAATTACATTTTCTGTCATGATTTCCAATAATTAAATGTTCATAAAATGTTACCGAACTGACGATTCTTTTATAATTGTGTCTATAATCACAATTATCGTCACCACTTTTACATTAACCCTATGCACTTCTATGTCGAGTCACACTCGACATCAGTTTTTATCTCAAAAGATAGAATACACTTTGAAAATTACAAAATACAACATTAGTCTAAATAAAACAGATATTTAATTAAATTTGTTTTTTCCATAACACATATTTAAATTGTTATATCTTTCAGTTTAAGTAAATTACAAATTACAAACATTTGAAAACATTGAAAATTGCTAGGAAGAAAATGAAAATATAATTCTTAGTACAAAGGAGATTAAAAGATATTTTAATTCATAAATATTTGCTTATTTCATTTTAAACGAAACTCAGAAATACGAAAGGGTAGACACCTAACCTAAAAATGCACCAAACAGTGCAATGAAAGATACAAAATTTAGAAGAAAAGAAAATGTGCATTAAATGTTCAATCTCTTAAATGAATCATAAGAAAATACTAATGTTTATTAATAATTTAATTCGATTACATTTTCTGTCATGATATCCAATAATTCAGTGTTCATAAAATATTACCAGACTGAGAAATCTTTTATAATTATCGTTACCTAAAAATTATTTTTAGATTTATTTTTAAAAATGTATTTAATTTGTTTTAATCGAAACCTCAAAAGTAGACACCTAACCTACAAATGCACCAAACAGTGCAACGAAAAATGCAAAATTTAAAAGAAAAAAAAACTGTGCTGTGTTCAATCTCTTAAATAAATCATAAAAGAATACTCCTATTTATTGATTTTAATCGATTACATTTTCTATCATCACCTTCAATAATTCAATGTTCATAAAATATTACCAGACTGAGAAATTTTTTATAATTATCCTCACCCTAAAACATTAATAGATATTTTACTTCATATATATTTGCTTATTTCAATTTAAACGAAATTCGAAAGTACGAAACGGTAGACACCTAGTCCTACAAATGCACCAAACTGTGCAATAAAAGATACAAGAGTTACACAAAGAATGAAAAAAAGAGAAAGAGAGAGAGAGAAAAAGGTGTACTGGGTTTCAGGGGTTAAGGGGATGAAGCAAAAGGGGTTGAAAAGAACTAGTCGGAGGTTGGTGACTCGAATATAAAGAGAAGCGTTGGACTGCCATTGAATTCGATGAATATGCAATACCTTCCTACTATAGAATTGAAAAAATATCGAGAAAAAAATAAAAAAGAAAAAGAAAGAGAAAAAGAAAGAGAGAAATATAAAAAAAAAAAAGAAAAAAAAAGAGAGGAATAAGGCGAGATGTCCTGTTCAACAGGAAATACCAACCTTCCTACCTATACCTATCTATATATATATATATATTATACATATGTACCTAACTACATGCATTGACGAAACGATCGAGAAATATCAGACGAATGGGAATTACTTCGGTGACATTTTATACGTGAATCTGGTTATTTTCTTTCTCCCCCCTTCCCCCACTCTTTCTCTGTCTTCTTTTTTTTACTTTTTTATTTCCGATCAAAATGAAAAATGTCTTTACTAACGAGACCGATTGTTCGATCTTGTCGTTATATTTATTTCTATCTTTCTTTTAAATTTTTATTTTGATTTTTATTTGTTCATCTTGAAAATACAGATACAATAAAACATATATATATATTTATAGTATATTATAATTTATAGTATTATATTATACTACTAACTATTATATTAATTATATACTACTAATATATATATATATATATATATATATATATTTATATTACTACTATAATAAGTAGTATATTATGTATATATAATAAGTTTTATATCTTCCTACTAATAATAGGATATGGTAACTGAAATCATATAACTGTATATATAATACCATTCTAAATTTGTATGTTGAATATCATATCACGTTTCTAGTTGCAGTAGTTAATTGTTCAGTGTAATTTTAGCGATAATTGGTTCATGTAATATCAGTGTTTATAATTGATCGTATTCTAGCATAAACGATTTAACAAATAAGTTTATTAATCGATGTTATTTTATAAGTTTGTCTATATACGTTTTTATGACGACATACAGGATGGTACAGAAAAAAGGGGTTAGATATTTGAAAGGTTTGTAATAATAAACGAGACGGATTCAAACAAAATGTCTGATTTACATCGAAAGTATTGATTTGAAGTTATGTTTTAAATCTTTTTGTTTCTTTTTAAAATGTCAATTATTATATATACGTTATTTTTTACATAACCTAAATCATACGGCTTTTTTAACGATTAACATGTAGTAACCTGTAACAATATTTTTTTGAAAGATACCACGATGCTTTGATGACAATATATATTTAAAACAGTTTATACAATTTACATAACTGACTCTTTCTTCTTCTCGTCATGCTAATAACAGAAACTGTTGGAATTTACGTTTAGGTCAATTGGGAATATGAGACACCAAGTATTTTCATATTCTCTGTCATAACGTAGTTTACTGTAAAAAAAACCTGTATAGAGTATTCCTCGTGGATGTTGCGTATCTTCTTTCGTTTGTTTCTTTTTTTCCTTTTTATCTTTTTATTTCTTTCTTTCTATTATATCTCATAATATCTGACATTTTCTTCATCGTTTTAATCATTTTGATAAAATTAACCTAAAAAAAAAAAGAACAAAAAAGAATTTACGAAAAAATGAAAAATTGATTTATAATATTTTAAGAGGTGGGGAGGGAGGGAAACATTTGGCACGCGTTTAAGAACTTTTCGACAAGCTCGTATAATAAATCAGAAAAAAAAGACGATGTTAGAAAAAGAATGAAAGAAAGAAAGAGAGAGACAGACATAGAGCCCATCGAAGGAAACATAGGTTCAAATTTCGAATTCCTCTCGTCGATTTGCGAGGATGTTTTTCCAAAGACGTGGATAAATCGTTTTGGCCATCCTGCTCTTCCCGTTCCTATAAAACTAGAAGAAGAAGAAGAAGAAGAAGAAGAAGAAGAAGAAGAAAAAGAAGAAAAAGGAAGAGGAATGTGGAACGGGAATGACAGAGGAGGAGTGGGAGGATAAAACTGCAGCTAAACCGCGACAAGAGAACGCATATGAGTCTCGAATTCTCAACCTAGAGGAAAGGAGTGAGGGTAGGAGTTAGGGGTGTGTATGTGTGCATTTGAACGATACTTCTGTGATGGTAATGCTAAGGAACATGAGCTGGTTTAGGTTGTAATGGTAGTGGTGTTGGTAGATGGGGGTGAAAAGGTGGTAGATGGGGATGAAGGTAAAACTCCGGATGGTTCGAAAGTTTCGCGTGATAAGTGGCAAATGATTTATTCGACTCACGGCTCGCGGGCACAGCGAGCGAACGGTACAAATTACGTAACGCGTTCAGAAAACCTTAGCGAGACGTGACAGTAATTCATACTTCTGAATTAGTGCTGCTAGCTAGCTAGTTTCCGACGTTTTTCGAAACGTTCAAGATGGTAAAGAGAGTTTTGGAGCTAAAGGGTGTGTGACTACTGGTCAGAGGTATGAGTGGGCCTTGGTGAAGGTTGGATAGGGTTAGAGGGTTTCAAGTAAACGCGTAATGTCGAACTTAGAACTTAGACCCGGATAAACTTTTCTGTTTTCGTTTTCCCAAACGTTTCTGATCTGACAACTTGAAGATTTTTCTTCTGGGATATTAAATCTATGATCGTTTTGACATAATAAGAGTGATATAATTTAATATCAGAAGGAATGTGAGAATTATTCTTAGGTTTTGGTATTATATCTCTATCTGCTTTATAAAAATATTTATTATATTATATTTAAACAAATATAATATATGTATATGTATCCTTTTTTCAAACTATTAGGTTGTCCGGAAAATTCATGTTTTCAATTTAAATTGCAAAACATTTCAATCTTCAATCAAAATCAGCACGAACTTTCCGGACAACCCAATATTTAT